GGTCTGGACGGCCAACTTCGTGGCCTACCGCTGCCGGACGTGCGGCATCTCCCCTTGCATGTCTCTGTGCGCCGAGTGCTTCCACCAGGGCGACCACACGGGACACGACTTCAACATGTTCCGCAGCCAGGCCGGGGGCGCCTGCGATTGCGGGGACAGCAACGTGATGCGGGAGAGCGGGTGAGTGGAGCCCTCCCCCGGGGCGGGGAGCGCAGCGGGAGGTCCGGGCCAGGGTTTTGGGAGACCGGGAATGGGGGCTTGGGGGGCCGATCCTGAGCCGTGAAGGGAAGGGAGCAGGGGAGGGAGGGTGCGGGCACCCGGGGATGGAGGTGTCTGAGCTGTCAGCGGCGGAGAGGGGGTGAGATGGAGGGGAGAGCGGAGAGCAGGTTTAAGGATCGGGCTGTGAATTTTCGGGGAAGCCAGGGCGACCGAGTGAGAGCGAGCAAAGAGCCTGTGCGTGGGGTAGGAGAGGAAAAGAATTCTTGGGGAATGTGGTATCGAGCTGTCAACGGTGCACTTGTTGGGAAAGGCTGTAGAAAGCGGCGTGCTTCCTGGGAAGCGATGATGGTGTGATTTGGTTTGGCTGGGAGGGGTATTGGGGACCGAATGGGATCGCGGGATGATGAGAGGCGGGGAGGTGGTCGTGCAGCTGCAGGGGAGGACAGCGTAGGGAGAAGGACTTCGGAACCGTCAGCGTGTCTGTGTGCGAAGGAGCTCTGGAGCTTGTGGGGGTTGAGGGAGGAGCGAGTGGGAGGGGCCTGCACGGAAAGCGGCTGTTGAGCTGTCAGTGGGGTATTTGGTGTGCTGGAATGACATCTAGAATTGGGCTACCGAGCCGTCAGTGATAGACTACCCTCTGTACAAGGAGAACAAACAAAACACGGAGCAAATTAGGAATCAGGTGTGAGCTCTTCTCCAGCTTTATAAAAAGCGCACCTTATTCACTGTCTAATACGTGCCATCTTTCTAAAAGGAGACACTCAAAACAAATGCTTTTCCAATAGGAAGGATGTACCAGGGTGTTGGGACTTGGGACAGAAGACATTTCAGAGATTGCAGCGAGTTAAAGAGCTCGTCCATGTAGTGTCTTGGCTTGGGACATGATTCCCATGTTTAGGGAAGTCCTGGGATAAGGAAAAACTTTGTGACCCAGAGAAAATTTTAGCTGGGCAGTAGTAGTTGAAAGAATGCTAGCAAACCTAGTTATTCAAGTTTTTCAAATTTTAAGTCTTATGGTGTATAATCCCTTTAGAAATGGTCACCATTTTCTTCTTTGGAGTACTTGTAGGTTACTGTTTCTCCAGAATGTTTGTATCTACTAGGTGAAAGCAAGGGTCCTGGGATATTAAACATGGATAAGACTTAAGCCACTTGCAGTAGAATAGAAAATGATAAATTCCTTATATGGTTCAGGAGTTAGAGGAGGCTACTGTGCAGAGAGAGTAAGAAAAAGGCTTTAGAAAGGAGGCATTTTGAGCCCTGGCCAGTATGTCCAATGGTTAGAGCGTCATCCTGTGCACTGAAGGTTCACGGGTTCGATTCTTGGTCAGGGCGATACCCAGGTTGCGGTTCTATCCCTGCTAGGCTTGAGGCAACTGATGTTTCTCTCTTTCTCTCTCTTCCTCCTTTCCCCTCTTCCTAACTCTCTCTCTAAAATCAATGAAAAGCATAGCCTCATGTGAGGATTAAAAAAATTAGATATCTGTCTAGTGTGGCTCAGTGGTTGAGCATCGACTTATAAACTAGGAGGTTATGGTTTGATTCCTGGTCAGGGTACATGTCTGGGTTGCAGGCTCGACCTCCAGTGTGGGACATGTAGGATGCAGCTGGTCAATGATTGTCTCTCATCATTGATGTTTCTCTCTCTCTCTCTTCCTTTCCCTTTCTCTCTAAAATCAATAAAAATGTATTTTAAAAAAAGAAGGTTTTTTGAGATTGCTTCTACTACTACTACTACTATTAGTGTTACTAATAACAACAGTAATAGCCCTAGCTGGTTTGGATAGAGTGTCAGCCTGCGGACTGAAGGGTCCCAGGTTCGATTCCAGTCAAGGGCACATGCCCGAGTTGTGGGCTCTATTGGTCACATGTTGATAAACAATTCTCTCTCATCATTGTTTCTATCTCTCTCTCTCCCTCTCCCTTCCTCTCTGAAATAAAAAATATATATTTGGAAAAAAAATAACAAATAATTGCAGCTAATATTCAAGAGCATCAAGACTGACATTCGTTTTTTCATATATATATTATTGTTGATAGTATTACAGATGTCTCCCATTCCTCACCCTATACCCCTCTCCTTCCAGCCCTACCTACACTCCCAGGTCTTTACCACCCTATTGTCTGTGGGCTATGCATATAAGTTCTTTTGGTTTATCTCTTCATGTCTCCCCATCACCAAGTACTAACATTAAAAAAGTAGTTTTTAAAATTAATATTTGAATAGGTAAAATACTCATATAGCTAAAAATAAGCAAAAAAAAGCCCAAACATAAACAGTTTAAAGTGTCCCTCCCATCTTGTCTTCCATCTGCCCAGTTTTGTCCCACCATTGTTAGTTTCTTAGTGCAAAAACCAACACTATGAATATGTATTTTGATTTTTCAGTCTTTTAAATGCAAAACATAACATGCCATATGCATTGTTCTACACATCTTACATTTTTCACTTATGAAAAGATTTAAGAGATCTTTCCATGCCAATCTGTTTAAAAAAACCAAAACTGCTACATAGTGTTCCATGGCATGAAGTTGCCATACTTTGTTTAATCATCACTTTTGATGGATATTTGGTTTCCAATATAAAACCTGGAATACCTGTCTTTTCAGACCTGTGCAAGAATATCAGTGGAATACATTCTCAAAAGTGGGGTTTCCAAATTGCCCTCCATGAGGCTTAATACTAAGCAGGGAATGAGACTCCCTGTTTTCTAACAGCCTTATCAACAGTGTTATTAAAAGTTTGGACTTTTATCCACCTATTTGGAAAACAGTGGTCAAATATTAACTGCTTGCCTGGCTGGTATAGCTCAGTGGTTGAGCACTGACCTATGAAGCAGGAGGTCACGGTTAGATTTCTGGTCAGGGCACATGTCTGGGTTGTGGGCTCGATCCCCAGTGTGGGGCGTGCAGGCAGCAGCTGATCAATGATTCTCTCTCAGCACTGATGTTTCTTTCTATCTACCCCTCTCCCTTTTTCTCTGAAATCAATAAAATATATAACAACGACAATAAAAATATTAATTGCTTTACATGATTTAACTCATTTAATCTTCAACAACTCTGAGATTATTACTGTTATTATCCCCATTGTATAGAAAAGGAAAGTGGGGCACAGAGTTTTAAAAAACTTGCCCAGGATTACACAAGCACTAAATTAGGCATGCTGGCTCTGGAGCCTGACCACTCAACACTTCTCTCTACTGTCTCTACAAATAACATTCTTATTCGTACTTTCATTTAATACTGTTGTATTTTTTTAAATATTCCATTCTGTTGGGCCTTTTTCTTTTAAAACTAACACTTTTTTCTTTATATTAGAGGCATTTCAAAACATAGAGGAAGGAGTTGAAACAATTCTTTACTGATATTTAGTCATTTTTATTTCACAGACTAGTTTAAGCATTTAGGAAATCCTTTAAAAACATGAAATTAAGAAATAATATTGATTCTTCTCTGAATTTTGGAACACAGTGGTAATTATCAGGTTGATCTGGGTGAAAAGCAAATCTGATTTCTAATTGTGATGCTTCAGTGTGGGAACGAAACTATGTCAGTGAGTTTCTTTGAAGGTACTCATATAGGTTTAGGGCATCTGGGCTGTAGATGGGATTTATACTAATCTTATAGCAATCTATACTTATACCTAAAGTAATTATATAAAGAACAAACAAAGCCCAAAGTGAATAGAAGAAAGGAAAAATAAAGGTTAGAGTGGAAAAAAATGAAATGCAGTCTAAAAAAAATACAAAAGTTTAATGAAACCAGGAGCTGGTACTTTGAAAAGATAAACAAAATTGATAAACTTTTAGCTAGACTCATAAAGAAAAATAGAAAGAGGACCAAAATAAATAAAATCAGAAATGAAAGAGAAGTGACAACTGACACCACAGAAATACAAAGGATTAAAGAAAAATTATGAACAATCATATGCCATAAATTAGATAACCTGGAAGAAATGGATCAATTTCTAGGAACATACAATCTTTCAAGAGTGAATCAAGAAGAATACACACACACACACGCACACACACACACACACACACACACACACACCTAAGTGACTGTCTGACCGGCAGGTAGCCATGACATGCAATGATCACCAGGGGGCAGATGCTCAACGCAGGAGCTGCTGAGTTGTGGTGACTTGGTAGCTGAGGTTTTCGTGTGATGCACCCAGAACCAGAGTGGAGGGAGCCTGATTCCAGGGTGCGACACCCGAGAATCGCCCTCTTGCAATCTGGGATCCCTCAGGGTATGTTGGACAGCCAGTTTTGTTCTGATCCCTGCAGGCCAGGCCGTGGGGCCCCACCAGTGCATGAATCCATGCACCAGGCCTCTAGTCAGAAAATATGAGCAGACTGACCAATAACTACTAATGAAATTGGAAAAAAACAATAACCTCCCATCAAATAAAAGTCCTGGACCAGATAGCTTCACACGTGAATTTTACCAAACATTCAAAGAAGAACTAACACTTGCCCTTCTCAAAATGTTCCAAAAAATTAAATAGGAAGGAATGCTCCCAAGCGCACTTTACAAGGCCAACACTATGCTGATTCCAGACCCGACAGAGATATTTCGAAAAAAGTGAAATACTGTAGGCCAATATCTCTGATGATGATAGATACAAAAGTCCTCAACAAAATATTAGCAAACTGAATTCAGCAACACATAAAAAAAATTATACACCATGATCAAGTAGGTTTATTGGGATGCAAAATTAGTTCAGTATTCACAAATCCATTAACATGATCAAATCTCTTAGCAAAGTAGGAATAGAAGGAACATACCTGAACATAATAAGGAACATATGTAACAAACCAACATCTAACATCATACTTAATGGCAAAAACTAAAATAGTTTTCCTTAAGGTCAGGAACAAGACACAGATGTCCACTTTCAACACTTTTATTCAACATGGTATTTGAATTCCTAGGCAGAGTAATCAGACAATAAAA